TTCTGTGTGAGTAGCTAGAGATCCTTTTACACAAACGGCTGAACAGTTCAAGACATCATGTTCACTGGTTAGCTAGTAAATCCGATAGTATCTCACAAGGGAAGGTTCAAAGCCAAAAGCTACCTATCTTTTGCAGAATGTTTCCAATTTTTGTACTCTCTGTATTTACATCATGTTATTGCATTTTCTCTCTGTCAATTTCATTCATGTGGGGGATTGTTGGAAAATTTATAAAGAGGTAGTTGTGAATTGAAATAGACTCCATTTTGAATGAAATGGTGTAACCTTTCATGGTGTCTTTTTGTTTTAAAGGAAGGGTCAAACCTCTATTTGAATGAAAGGGTGCAAACCTTTCATGGTGTCTCTTTATTTTAAAGGAAGGGGTATATCCCTTCTTCAAACCTTTTCTATTCAAATTGAATAGGTGCCAACAAAGCTTATATAAAGGCAGCCCCATTCCAATTTTGATTGATTCCGAAAAATTCAGTCTGAAATTCTTGTCTCTTTGCTGTCCATTTTCTTTTAGTGCATTATTCTTCATATAAAATATTAGGAATAAATTTCAGAGAGTTATAGAATACAAGGTTCTAGTTCGCCGGATAAATTTGTTTGAAGTGCTTCTACAAATTTGTGAAGATCATTGTATCCTGGGAGATAGACGCCACTCAACCGTAAGCAACGTAGCGGGGCGAATCTGTCTTAAGGACAGAGTGTCACACACTCGACTTGGTCTTAATTTTAATTCAATTTGATAAATAAATCCGGTATGTTATTTATTTATTTTGTTTGAATTTATTTCAAGTTATTTTATTTACACAGAAAATTGTTTCAATAATTTTTTGATATATTTTTACATTTTGCTGTGTTCAATAATTTTTTTAAAGATTGTTATACAAAATTTATATTTTTAAAATATCAAAATTAAGTGTATTTAAAAAATAAAAAAATTTTAAAAAATCATTAAAAATATAAAAATACAAATTAAAAACTCCAAATTAAACCAAACATAGCTGCATCACCTATATAATTCAATAAAAAATGAATTAATAATAATGAAATTTTAGATAAATGAAAAATTTCAAATGGTACTGATGGAAATGAAGGAATAGGATTATTATGAATAAATAGACATAAATGGGCTCATAGGCTGTCAAATCCAACAAGGATTGGTCTAATCATGAGGGCCTCCACCTCAGTTTCTGGCCCACTCCCTCTCCTGGCTGGTGAGGGACTATTGTAAAAATGATTGACAACTCTTATGAAAGAGATTTAGGTCAAGTTTGACATTTTTTAAAAAATTTAAAAAGTCAAAAAATTATTATCCTATTTAAGTCACGTCATTTTATTTAAGTCACATCACCTTTCTAACACATCACTTCAAACCCAACCCATATTTTATAAAAAGTCAAAAAGTGCACTTATTTAGTCTTTCCAAACTTGGCCTTAATATGAGTGATTCTTAGGACTATTTTGGGAAGTTGACTTTTAGTCATTTTTTTTTGGTTTGTAGTAAAAGTTAAAAGTTAATTTTTTTGTATAAATGAGAGTAGTTTAATTATTTTATTATAATTTGACATCATAAACAAACATTAATCAAAAAAGTCAAAAGTCACTTTTTATCAACTTCCCAAATCATTTGTCTAAAAAAGTCAAAAAACTTGGTTAAAAGTCAAAAAATCACTTTTTATCATCTTTTCAAAATAAGCCTTAGTGTGATATAATGTTTTGATTTTATTTTTATTTTTTTTGATTTTTCATGTTATTAGAATTGAGTTTAAAGTTTCAACTCTAGAACTCTCAATTACTGTTCGTGTTATTGAGTGGTTATGAAGTATAGGAAGGGAACATTTATATAGGCCCTGTTTGATTGGGGGATATAAAGATTGGGATTGGATATTATATCCGGTGGGGTCCATATATCCCATATTTGTAATTTTTTTTTGAAGGGGATATAATATCCGGTGGGATTGTATATCCCCTAAAAGTGGAGGATATACAATACCACACCCCCCATTATATCATATCCCCTTGGTGGGGATATGATGTAAAAAGTCCAATTTACCCTTTTTTCTATCTAACATGATATAATTTAAAACAAACATGCATAACATATATCCAATCTTATATATCAAGTCAACAAACATGACTTGGGGGATATACTATCCAATACTTATATCCTATTCATTATATATCCTGACTAAATCTTACATCATATTATATACTCCATTTTATATCCTTATCCAACGAAACAAACGGGGCATAGAGTCTTAATTCCAGAACTCTAAATCACTGTTCATGTTATTAGGTGGTCATGAAGTACGATCGAGTAGCGCTCATATAGAATCCCAACTCCAGACCTCTCAATCACTGTTTATATTAGGTGGTCTTGAAATACAGTCAGCTAGCCCTCTAAGATTTTATGATTAATGAAGGAAATAAGATTAAAGATTTTGTATCAATAATTAAAGACATAAGCAAGGGTATGATGACTAGCACGTAACGTTCTAGAAACATTGAATAATTTTTCGTGGTTGATGACTCAGCCCCACCCAATCGATCACTCCTCCTCCATCCTCCTAACCAAATTCTGAGACACAGAAGAGAGAGAAAGTAGAGAGAGAGAGAGAGAGAGAGAGGGTGGTATGGGTGTGGACTACTACAAGGTTCTTCAGGTAGACCGAAACGCCAAAGACGATGACTTGAAGAAAGCTTATCGCAAGCTCGCCATGAAATGGCACCCCGATAAAAACCCTAACAACAAGAAAGACGCCGAATCCAAATTCAAACAAATCTCCGAAGCCTACGATGTATGTTCACAAAATCCCCCTAATTCTCTCTCTCTGTCTCTCTCTTCTCTTTTTCATTCAATTTCCCAATCATCTTCCTGTTCAATTTTCTAGGTTTTGAGTGATCCCCAAAAGCGAGCTGTCTACGATCAGTACGGCGAAGAGGGTTTGAAGGGCCAGGTTCCGCCGCCCGGTGCCGGAGGCTTTTATGCTGGCTCCGACGGTGGTGGTGGTGGTCCGACGACGTTCCGGTTCAATCCTCGAAGCGCCGATGACATTTTCTCTGAGTTTTTCGGGTTTAATAGCCCTTTCGGAGGAATGGGGGATATGGGTGGGTCTCGAGCCAGTGCTTCGGGGTTTCCGAGGGGTATGTTTGGGGAGGATATATTCTCTTCGTTTCGGGGCGGAGCTGGGGGTGAAGGGTCCGGTCATGTGCCTCGAAAAGGGGCGGCGATAGAGCGGAATTTGCCATGTAGTTTGGAGGATTTGTATAAGGGGACTACTAAGAAAATGAAGATTTCGAGAGATGTCATTGATGCTAGTGGGTAAGATTCGGATTTAATATATAGCTTCTGAAAATTTTGAAGTTTGTTTAGTAATGATCTCAAGTGCATAAATTGACTTTAATTGGGTTCAATTGAATTTACAATTAATTGGTATATTGATGCACAGTGTTGTTTTTAGCTATGTTTATGTAGTTTGAATATTGCCAAAAATATACAAGCTTTACCTATAATTTTGTAAGACACTTGCTTGAGATTAGCAGGTGAAGTCACTGTTTTGACTTTTTCTTGTATGGAGCTATGAAGTTTACACCTTTGTTAGACTTGATTAAATATAGTGAATTCTGACACATGGGTATGTAGTTGAGTATGGTCTTCCTATCCGTAGAATTAGGAACTTTCTACCCTCCATGTCACCATTTTATGGCGATACTCTGCATAATTTTATGCAGAAAGTTATTTTCATTTTTTGTTAAAGTGTGTCCTATATGAGCTTTAAATTTGTGAATCCTTTGTGCTTTGCTTGGTGGTTGTAAATTGGAGGAAAATGATGAATCTTACGATTTGCTTTCAAACTGAATGTGAGTTGTCTAGTTGTGATTTCTTGTTATGCTCGTATGTGATTGGAATTGTGATTATATAGGAAGCGACAAATTTTACTTTCTAATTATTCCATAGTTCTATTCTATCCTATCTTATCTTGCATTTGCATGCATGCTTTGGCTGGATTGAAGATGGACTCAGATTTTTTAGAGGCTTCTCTAGTGTTGTCTTCACGTGTCTACTTTATGAATATTACGATAAGCGTGTTAATTAATGCGTGTGATTAAATGCTCGTGCTTATTAGACAAAATGATAGGCAAGGAAAACGTGGATTATATTCTTAGAGCTTGGTTTTGTTGTTCTTGCTACTCTACTATTCCTATTGGAAGGCAAAAAGTCAGACCTAATTTTCATGTCATATTCAGCTGAAGGCAGCATCTATTTACCAAGTCATGTTTTCCTTTTTTGATGTTTCCTTTCATTTTCCAATTACTTTGTTTTTTTTTTCATTTATTTTTTTGAGCTCAATTGTTGGTAGATGTACGGGGAGAGTACATGCTGTAGTATTAGAGATTTAGAGAATTTGTTTGAATTGATTATTTAAGAAATTGGAGCCTTTTTGGATATGTTATTTGTAATTTCAAGAGTGTTAATTGAAAAGCTTGAAAGATTTTTTACTACAAAGATCTCCTTAGAAAGTTTGGAAGGATTGAGAGGGTTGTAAAATCTTGTGGATGAGGGGAATAGTTGCACGTATAAGTTATATGCCCTGGTTGGGAATTGTTGGAGTTGTTGACATCATATGGTTGCTGGCTTTGATAACTAATTTAAAGGTTGTTGATTGTCAGCAGTTGGTATTTTCTTTTTGGCTGGCAGGAGAATTGTTGAGATTTTAGAATGATTTTGTTAGGGGTGCAACTTGTCCAGGTTTGTTGGGGTTGCTATGAATCACGGACACCTCTCCGAGGGCTCCGTACTAGTGTCGGACACATGTCGGACACGGACACGCGTCAGACACGCGATGGACACGTGTCCGACACGCAGCAAAGAGTGTCCCATTTTTTTTTTGATTTTTTTACATCCGGACACGTTGTGGACACGTTTGGACACTTTGGGGACACGTTCGGGGGTAATTTCATAATTTACAAAAATTTTTTTGGAGTCGATTTGTAAAAAACAAAAATAGAGCAATATCTGCCTAATTCGATTAGAACAGAAGAGAAAGGGCGAACATAAGAGAAAGGGAGAGAAAGAGAGGACCTGGTCACTTTTCAGTGGTCGCTCGTCGTAGCTCATCGTCGCTCGTCACTTGTCACTCATCACTCGTCGTCGGTCCTCGTCGGTCGTCGTAGCTCGTCGTAGCTCGTCTCGTCGTTACTCGTTGAGGTACGCTGCTCTTCTCCATTCTTCTTCTTCTTCGTTCTTCTATCTTCTTCTTCGTCCTTTTTCTCTGATCTCTCTCAGTCGCTGTCTCTCTCTCTCTCTCCTTCTCCCTCTCTCTCTCTCTGTCTGATTTTATTTGTTCTTTTATTTTTTATTTTTCCTTTATATAGTGAGTGATGTTGATCCCCCTCTCTCTCTCTCTGTCTTCTATTTTTTTTTTCTATTTTCTTTTTCTGATAATATATATAAATATATATTATATACTAATATGTATACATATATATTTATATACTAATATAGGTATATATATTTGAACAAAAAAATCTTCTTTTTTTCCTCTTTTCTTTTTTTCTATTTTTTAGATATTATTATTTGCTTAAATAAATTATTTTTATTTACAGAAAAATTTTAATTTGTGAATAATATTTGATATTAAAATAAATAAATCATATTTATATTTTTTAATTTTACATATAATAAATAAATAATATTATATATATTGAACGTGTCCCTAGCGTGTCGTGTCTCCTATTTTTTAAAAATTTACGTTTTCCTGTGCTCGTGTCGTGTCCCGTGTCCGTGTCCGTGCATCATAGAGGGGTTGCTTAGGCCTGGACCGAATTGTGCTGAGAGGTGCCTAAGCTTGACCAAGCCCAACCTTCAACCCAATCTTTTTTGCCCAAGCCGGCCCAAGCTCAACTCAAACTTGGGCTAGCCCGAGTTGCCCGAATTTCCCAAGCCAGCAAACATCCCTAATTTGGTAAGCCTATTGCCAGAGAAGTAATTCCAAACTCAATCAATGAGAACCTAATACAAACATCCCTAATTTGGTAAGCCTATTGCCAGAGAAGTAATTCCAAACTCAATCAATGAGAACCTAATAAATCCATATATACCACAGACATGACTATTAACTATTACGATTTATGATTCACAGGAATGGATATACAATCTATGCATATGAAAGATTTCTTGGTCTCTCCTTACGAAAGATGAATATACATTTCTTGCTTAATTTATAATTAACTAGCTATTCTAATAGGTTTGTCACTCTGCAAAAAAACCTAGGAGGAAGCATCAAGAGAAAGATGAAGAGAGGACCTTTTGTCAGATTGTGTTTCTATAGAAATAAAGCTACCAACATGAAATTTTCTGAAATTATAGGAAGCTTAGGAAACACGAGCTCAAATCGGCCCATCTGCCAAAAATGGAAAACCCAAATAGGTTCTCTCTCTGCTGTTGTGACTGTGAGTCTCACTCAATGAGAAATAAGGTTTGTGACGATATATATAGTTCATTTGATCTAACGGTCTAGATTTATTACTTCTAATCAAATTGCTTATAATTTATAGGTATATTCAATTTACATATATAGTTTGCTCATTCCCCTTTGCCCAAGCCCAGCCCAAATTAATTTGGGCCTCTAAATTCTACCTAGGCCCACCCAGGTTCTAACAAAATGCCTGCCCAAGCCCTATCAAAATGTTCTTAGGTATCATAAAAGGAAATGGTATTTTCTTAGGTATCGTATCATAAAAGGGATTTTTTTCCCTTAGATGTCTTGTGAAATGGCATTTGGGTTGTTTGGGATGACCTAAATAAGTGTACTTTTTATTTTTTTATGAAAAGATGTGCAGAAAAGTAGAGAGATGATGTGATGGAAAAAAGATAAAAAGATAAAAAGATGGATTATTTTGATGTTGCCAAACTTGGCCTTACTATTATTGCCCCTTTTTTATTTTATAGGGGTGGATGTTTGAGTTGAAATATGTTCAAATGTTTATATTTTTTATTATTCAGTGTCTCTTTCCTTGTTTGTATTGTTTTATTATTACTATTATTGCACCCTTTTTCTTCATTTTTTTCTCAAAGGGGGTAGGGCGTGTATTGTGCTTTTTATCTTGGTTTGGTGAAGGGAATCTATTCATGTACTTGCTTGGCATAACAAATCTAGTGCCAACTAAGCATGATATGATCCCACAAGGTTATAGGGCTCTCCAACCCCCATAGTGGAGTTGTGAGTTCAAGCCCCATGTGGGGTGTTGGGGGTGATCTTAGATCTAGGCTGGAGTAGGTCCTAACAATTGTCACACACACACGCACGCACACAGTGTTGTGAAAGGCGCGCCTAGGCGCCAGGTGAGGCGAGGCGAGGCGCAGTATAACAGTCGCGCGCCTTGGATGCGACTGGAAGAGGCGCAGAGAGGCGGGCTTCTCTGTTTATGCTTAATTCATATCTGATGGCTGAAAATTGTGTTCCAATAGCCTCCAACACATACGATTACAACTCATATGCAATACAATACAAGCGAAATCAGAAGAGGACTCAAATCGAATCCCTAATCTGTGTTCTCCTTCAACTGGGCTCCTTCGACTCCTTCCGACTGGGCTCTTCTCTCGCTCGAACTAGGTACTCCTCCTCTTCTTCTTCTTCTTCTTCTTCGAACCTCTGTCGCGAACCTCTGTCGAAGCTCCTTCGACTCCTTCTGACTGGGCTCTTCTTCTTCGACAAAGCTTCGATCGATTTTTTTTTTTCTTCTGCTTCGCTCGTTGGGTTGCTGGGTTGGGTTGGGTGAATTCTTTTTTTCTTCTCCTCCTCCTTTTTATTCTGCCGAAGCTCTGTTTCTTTTTTTTTTTTTCCCCTTCTTATTCTGCTAGTTAGCTCTGTTCTTCTTTTTCGTTTTCATTTTTTCCCTTTGTTTTGAGTCTGTCTCTGTTAAAAAAAGAAAAAAGAAAAAAAGAAAATGACATACATTACATACATTAATTAATTTATACATTACATACATTAATTAATTAATTCATCATTAATTAATAGAAAAAATAGATACATTACATTCATTATGATTATACTGAAATTGATTCATCATTATACTGAAATTAATTAATTCATCATTAATTAAAAAAATAGAAAATTGATTCATACATTACATACATTAATTAATTCATCACATACATTACATTCATTATACTGAAATTGTTTTTCTATTATTTATTTTTTGTGTTGTGTAGTAAGTATTAAGTAGAAAATGACATCGGAAAGTAATAGAAAAGATCCGGCGTGGCAATATGCCCATTTGGTAGAGGAGAATAATTTAAACAAGTTTGAGTGTAAT